TATATATATATATATATATATATAAAAATTATACACATATAATACATAAATTATAAATATGTTATCTTTTCATCGGCTATATTTACTTTAAACGATTGAGTGACCGGCTAATTAGGTTAATTCCTCTAGTAATTATTTTAGCTTCGCCATACTTCATGATTTTTAGCTAAAAAAAAATACAAAGAAGATACATTTTAAAACTCACATTTTGATATAAAAATTTTAAATTTTGATTCTGCCTCAGATAAACAAACGATCATTACAAATTATTCATCATCTATAGATTAAGCTTCACATGAACTAATAATTGCTATTGGGCAGTAAATGCAGAAGAAAGAAAGTGAAGTTTCGATAACTTAATTTGTTGAGAAACAGCTAGCAACAACCTCATCATAGTTGCGATAATTAAGGTCATAGGAAATGGTGTCAAGATAATTTTCATCATCCCTCATGAATTATTTCCCTACCAAAATAGTTTTTTTCTTTACCCATAGGTTCTACCTTAAAATAGCTTATTGTACATATTTACTTTATTTATCTTGGGACATTTACACCTTATTACTTACTTTATGTTGAGACATTTACACCTTACAACCACCCCTAGTAGTACATTCGTCTTAATTGTAACACGTACAAGACATTACTCTGCTGTTAACTTCTATATGTAGTTCCATCATCTTCAAACAATTACATCACATCCCAATATTAATTAGTAAGTGCTTCATAGGTTTCTTTATCAAATTGTGATAATTCCTATATGTACGGTTGGAGTGGAATGGAATGGAAAGTTTAATCCACTGTACCAGCACTTGACCCATATAATCTTTATTTAAGAGAAAAAAAAAATCCCTTGTTGTATTTCATTCAGTAAACTTGTATTATGCGCACTTAACTATTTCATTGGATTCTTGTTTTTCTTATCAATACAGGAATCGAAACTTAAGAAGAATAGAAGAGATTAAATCACCTAGAGGATTTAAACATTGATCTTTCGTGATTTCTACCCACTTTATTTTCAATTAGGCTACCCTTACGTGTTTCCCCGTCATTTTACCTCAGAATTTCAAATTAAAACACGTTAAAATGTCTAAATAAGGTAGAAAGACTACATTTATCACTATAACACTAGACAAAAATGCTGCCCCCATATCCATATATAGAACAACAAAAAGAGAAAAATGTAAAGATGGGCAAAAGTAGGTACCTCATGGCCATTGCCACTGACAACATCAGGAGCATCAACACGACGAGCAAGAGGTAATCCATGGCGTTTTTTCTTGCCAAAATCATACAAAGACTTAGCTCTGAGCACATCATTCACTTTGCTCCGCCGTATCGGAACCGTTCCTTTAGGGCAGCGCTGCCCATTTTTGTGCCATAGTTGCCAATTTACTGCACCCAATCTTTCATCACTACTTTTGCTACTGTTACTTACATCTCTCACGCCGTCTGTTTTTACCATCTTCAGTTTTGGAATCTCTGGTGGAACCTTCTGTACTTACATTGCAATGATTTGAAGTTATAAATTTATTTTGATCATGAGCTCCATATAATAATTAATGATTTAGCTTGTTGCTTGTGAGTAAAAGAAAAGAAAAACAAAAGTAAAAGTAAAGGTGGTTGGTAGTTGAAATACTTATTATTACACCACGAAGCCGGTAAAAGCCACATTTTTGCTAGCTATATATTGTTTAATTAAAAAACAATAAATGAAATATATATTTTACAATTTTATCCATAATAATGATAGTATTTCCAAAAGTCTTAGGAAATGATTTGGGGAATGAGTAATTAATGATAAGGGTAAAATAAGAAAAAGGATTGTCTTTTTCTTGATTTAGTATAGTGGATATATAAAAGTAAAAATATATTTTTAGTACAGTGGACAAGTAAAAGAGAACGGATGGTGTATATAAAAACTACTCCGATACTAATATTCACTATAAATGAGCAAAAAATGGTGACAAAGCTAGAAATTTCTCTAAGAGTGTTTAAAATTAATAAAATTATTATGTGAGTAAAAAGAAGTAAATATTGATCTATATAAAAAATTTTATGTACATAATATATATAGTTTTCTGATGAAAAGTGTTCAACTGATCTGATTGCCTTTCAATATGTATTATATAGCTCTAAAATCTTTTTCGACGAAGGGTGATCAATTGACTGCCCTTAGGATAACGCAGCTTCGCCCTTGGCGCTGGCAACAAATCCCACAAAGAAAGAAGAAGTAGGTGTTGTAGCGTTTAATTTAGGTTTAGGTATTATGATCAACAAAAAACTAAAAAAAGGGGGTATTTTACCTGAATCTTGTGATTCTTGAGAAGAGGATGATCTAAAGCTGGTTGTTTTCTTTTATGAACACAATCTATGATATCTCCATCTGGGCTCTGAAAATTTTAAAAGAAAATCCAACCATCACTATAATATTCCACGTGAAATACATATTCCAAGAAAAAAAAAAGAAAATAAAAAACAAAGAAGATGTATCATCACCTCAATGGTGAAGACAGAAGGCTTGTTAATCTTGTCCAAGTGCCTTTCAATTCTTTCAAGTCTTAAGTTGCTAACTTGTCTATACTTTGTGTAGTTCAAATTACTTGGAATTTTGGCAGCTGCTGCTTTAGATGTTTGGCACAAAAAGAAGAAAGACCAAAACAAGAGTAGTACTAAAACTTGTCTCTTCCTTCCAACAGTGTCCATTTCATTCAGTGCCCAAAGGAAATGAAAAGAACACAAAAGTTTGTATGAGTGGGGAAAAAAAAGGAAAGGAATGAAAGAGAAAATTAAAAACTACAGCACCATTACTAGAAAAAATACAGTGACCTTCTTCTCTTAATTAGCAAAGAGAAAAGGAAACTAAGAAAATGACCTTCACTGAAACATCCTTTTCTTTTCACACACTCAAACAATGTTTAAATGCTGAGAAAGAAAGGTTGGTGAAAGAAAATTTAATATACTGAGGACAAAACCCTAAATGAGTTTCAGGGTAATGATGATGATGATTGAGAGCTGCAACAACATCTGCATACAATTTATATAAATGGACGACAGAGAGTCAAAAGATAAACATTGTTTTTTTTTACATGATGGATGATCTGACGAGTCGAAGGAATTAAAAGCAGCAGAAAGTTTACTAATAGAAGAAGAAGATTAACAAGAAAAATAAAAGATTTATTTTTTTGAGTTGATAGAAGCTTAGTTAATGAAGGAGAAGTAGTAGTAAAGTAATTAAAGAGGGAATAATAAATCATACAGACCTACCCATCTTCTCAACAATCCCCACTCCCATGCACCTTCTTTAATTAATTTGCCTTCTCACAACTTGAATATTTGCATCTGCCTCTCTGCCACCACACAATCTTCACCATTAATACTCTCCTTTC